CATGCTAAGGACACACCCGCCCACAGAGACTGGTGGAGTCGCCTACATGTACGTGTCTGCTTGTCCCCATAGCACGGGACCTTGCAGGTCAATGTCAGTCATATCTGAAAGGGGGACACAGGGCCTCAGGTAACATAATGCGCCCAGAACACGCCTGCCGCCCTGACAGGTGCAAACAACCCCACTGTCTAAATATAAATTGACTCAGGCAGTTTGCAAGCTGTCTTTCTCACTTTCTATTCTGATCAAGCAAAAGAATGTTCTATTCTTTAGTCCTGACTTCTGATCCAGTTATTTTTATTTAGATTCATCTTACAATCATTTTCATTCAAAGGGAAGCAATCTTGGGTCCAAAAGCAATGTTAGAAATCAAAAAAAAAAAAAGGAAAGCTTCAAAATCTTGGAAGAGATTACAAGCTAGGGACGGGCTGTCTTTGAAATACACTAAGTTGTGGGGCTGGCGCTGTGGCATAGTGGGTACAAGCGCCGATGACAGTGCTGGCATCCCATGTGGGCACAGGTTTGACACCCCGGCTGCTCCACTTCTGATCCAGCTCTCCGCTATGGCCTGGGAAAGCAGTGGAAGACGGCCCAAGTCCTTGGGCCCCTGCACCCACGTGGAAGACCCAGAAGAAGCTCCTGGCTCCTGGCTTCGGATCAGTGCAGCTCTGGTCATTGCAGCCAGCTGGGGAGTGAACCAGCGGGTGGAAGACCTCTCTCTCTCTCTCTCTCTCTCTCTCTGCCTCTCTTTCTCTCTCCGTGTAACTCTTTCAAATAAATAAATAAATTATAGAAAAGAAATACACTAAGTTGAGAAGGTTGACCCAACAGTATTTTCTAAACCTCTCTGGATGAGCAAGAGCATATGCATATCGTCTAACGTGTTCAAAGGAGCACTGTCTAATGTTAAACCAGAAAGGGAAGCGAGGTTGTAATCAGCAGAATGGAAATTCCCTGGGCAACATGTGGAACCTGGCACCTGCCGCCTTTGCTGGTTCCTACCTCACTGTCTCCTATGAGCCCCAGCTCTAATAGCTCTAATTCCTCTCACTCCTTGGCAGTTCTTTGATACTCCCCGCTCCCTCCCCACCCCCACTGCCAAACACACACCCACTCTTCCTCTTAGCTCCCCCTACCTTCCACACATTTATTCTGCATCAGTATTCGTTAGTCTCTGAGCATCTCATCAAGTAAGGATGTAGTTAATTGGTTTCTACATTTCCAGCATCCATGCCCCTGTCATTACTCAATAATGTGTTGTCAAAGGAATGGATGAGTGAGAGAGGACTGAAGGAGCCACAGATGAGCCTAAGTGTAAGGATGAAAGACAGCACTACCACTGACAGTCATTAAAAAAAAAGTTACGGAAAAATAAAAATTAGCTATGCTCAGCCACTGCTAAGTGTTTTGGCTAATGGAGAGGGGTGTTAATAAATGAAATTAAGGCTAAAACTCGGTGCCAGCTGTTGTAAAAGGAACTTGGTGTGCATTGATTGAGGCGGTGAAGTTTTCCATTTTCACTTTCCCTCTTTGTTGCCATACAATGACAAGTGAGGTGCAGTTGAGTGTTGGGGCTGGTCCAGCTCCAAGGTTCTGGGCTCTGGACCATTGCTTCTTTATCCCAAGCTTTCATCCGGCTGTATTCTGATCACAAAGGACACTGTGCACTTTTCAAACTCAGGGCAGCCACAGCCCCGCCTACCAAGACTGTGGCACGCCACAGCTCAGTTTAGCCCCACTGCCCTAGTCTGAAATAGTTGTCTCAGCCACAGGCATGATCACAACCCATGCTTTCCTCGATCGATGGAAGAAAGATGCTTCCAAACCCTAAAGCCATAAAGTTGCGTTTACTTGTCCCAGATGCCTTCCCAGCTGGTTCAGCTCACCCTTTGCCTGCATACATTTTGCAATACCTGTTGGCTTGACTCAGTCTTTGCCCACTCTTCTCAAAGGCTCACTGCACCTAAGAAACTTGGCCAACACTTGACTTAATGAATCTTCAACCTACTCATCAGAAGGGGGGGGTCGGAGCTGGCAGAGGGAAAGAGTGCAGAGAAACTCGATTTGCCAACCGCCTTAGCAATAGCGGATTTCACAGGTGGTCCTTTATCAGGTTTGCCCATCAGAAGAAAGGGAAGAGGGTTAATGATCAACCTTGCCCTCCAGACAGGGAGACTGCCTGGGGAAGCCGTCTCTGGAGCTGAAAGCTTGTGCTGGACTGTTGGAACTGACTGGTGTTTTTGTCTGGGATTGCTCATAAAAGTGGGAGCTGCTCCCGTAGCCCTTACAGTAGGCATTCTCTAGTACCATATTCAACAGAGCAGATTTCCATGTAATAAACGTATTCCATGGAAAGAAAAGCCCTTTACTTTGGGTTTATGCCCAGCCTGCATTTTGGTATAATTTCCATTAAAGAAATGTCTCTTCTTCCAATGAAAGGATAGTAACAGAAGATGGGAGGACCCATTTATTTTAATGCCCCAATTCTGCAGGGCCAGTTTAATTAAGGGGCTGCAGCAGAGACTCCCTTTGGGGCCCGTTAACCCACATTTTCACAACTTGCAGTTACTTGGTACTTTAAGAAGTTAGCTATTTCTCATGATCTTTCTATAATTTTACAGGCCATCAGAACTAGGAAACTGGCAGCCTTAACCCCAAAAGGGCCAGCTTGGATCAATACATATTGATCTCCTATGAGAGGAGGAGGTTCTGGCTCAAATTCTACTAAGATCATCATTCTCTACAGACCTCACAGTGTGCCACAGCAATCACAGAGAACCTGTCGGTTTGGGTGGTTGCTGTAACAGATTCTCTTGTAAAATATGACGGGACCTCACATGAAGAGCAGTGACATCTCACATTGGAGTGCCCAGTCCTAGTCCAGGCTACTCCATACTTGCAATGCAGCCTCCTGCTGCTAATGGGCCTGGGAAGCAGCAGATGGGTGCCCAAGTCCTTGAGACCCGCCACCCAAACTGATGAAAGCTTTACTTAATACATACTAACTAGATCTTCTGTATATAAAGAGAATTGAAAATGAATCTTGATGTGAATGGAAGGGGAGAGGGAGTGGGAGATGGGAGGGTTGCGGGTGAGAGGGAAGTTATGGTGGGGGAAGCCATTGTAATCCATAACTGTACTTTGGAAAATTATATTTACTAAATAAAAGTGTTTATAATAAAATATATATATATATAAAAAGAGACCCTGCCACCCAAGTACTGGGGAGACTTGGATGGAGTTCTTGGCTCCTGACTTTGGCTTGACCTGGCCCAGGACTGTTGTGAGCATTTAGGGATGGAAGATTCTCTCTCTCTCTCTCTCTCTCTCTCTCTCTCCCATTACCTCTCCGGCACTCTGCCTTTCAAATAAATAAATCTTTTAAAAATTTAAATCCAGACATATATTCCTCAGAATATGCATATTCATGAACTTTTTGCAGACTCCTATGCATGGATTTCAAAACTTTTTCCACCAAAATACATTTGCATTTTAATTCTAATTTCCATGAACTTTTTGATGCTCCCCCTCTCATTCCCCCTGAGAACCCCTCGGCCACATCTGGGGTACTCTGTGGGTACTATGGGTGGTGGTCCCCCCACCCCAATACCACCTTCCAAGGAATCTGCTGTCATCCTTTCTGGCAACACCCCGGTACGATGGGCACAAGGCAAGGGCCAGCACCTGCTTCCCACACACCGGAAGCAACTTAGGACACGGATTCCTGAGGAGGGTCCCTGTAGAGTGCAGGGGAGTAGCCTTGATGACCCCTCTCAGGGCCCCCTCCCGGCTCTGCAGGCGACTGGAAGGTTAACAGTCCCCTGAGAGCTACGCAGCTGGAAGGGTCAGGTGGCTGAGGGGCCGGCGAGGCAGCAGGAAGCCACCCCAGCTGCCTGCCAGGCACGCAGCGCTCCTGGGTTTGGCTAGCACTTGGCCTGGGCACGGAAAACTTTGCATGCCGCCCGCGTCCGAGGCGCTCGGGTGCACCAACCTGCCTCCGCCCCCTGGCGCCCGGCCTCGGGCTCCTGGGGAAGCGGTGACCCACCGCCCCTTCGCAGCCCCTGGACTCCAGCCCTATCACTCCGGGCACGCTGCAGATCACGTGGCTGAGCGCTGCTTCCCCGCCGGGCCGCGGCTATTGGTCGGCGGCTCGTGTCCCGGGCGCGCTCATTGGCTGTGGGGGGCGTTCACGTGAAAGGGGGTCTGGGATGGAAAACCTCGAGTTGGGGAGCGAGCGACCAGAAAGTTAAAGGGAGCAGCTGGGGCCGCGGGAGCCCGAGTCCTGGGCGACGACGTCGGGGGCGGGAGAGAGGAGGTGAGCGGGCAGCTCGCGCGCGCGCAGGGACGCGGCTGCCCGCGGAGGGCGCAGACCCTGGCCCCGGCTCCTGCCGTCGCGATCGCTGCCCCTGTCACGCCCTGCGTGGCTGCCCTGTGGACTTACGAGCTGTATCCGGTACGTACCTCCCACCCCCGCGCCCACAGTCCGACTCGTACGTGCACACCCGCACAGGGACGCCCCAGACGGGCTGGAACAAACTGTTGCCCCCACGTGGAGCGGGCGCGTTAGGGACCCGTGTTCCACCGAGCTACAGGTCCCACCGCAACGGGCGGCCCTGGGGCTGGCCCGGGACTGCAGGTTCCCTCCCCCGCTGTTGTCCCCGGCTCGCAAATGGCCCCTTTCTCGCTGCAGAGTAGGGGTGTGGCGGGCAAGAGCCAGCCGCTTGGCCTCTGCGCGCGCCTCAGTTTCCCCGAAAAGTGAGAACCACGAGAGCGAGCCGTCTCCACACCCAAATGGACTTGCGCACAGAAGTTGTCGCACTAGGTGGTGTCTCGGTCCCCGAGGGCGGCGGGACGTAGGGTGTCCTCCGAGCCCCAGACCCGGGCTGTGCGGGGAGGCCGCGGCCAGGCGGCCCGCGCGGGGGTGCTCGTGCCCCGCGCAGCCCCGCCGGCTCGCCCCGCCCCGCCCCGGTGTGATAAGTCGGGCTCCTCCTCCTCCTCGTCGTCTTCCTCCCCCTGCCGGTCACGTCGGCCCTGCCTCCGGGACACAGAGACGCTCACGTAGTTGGGTGGCGGCGGCCGCCCCTGTCACCTCCCTCCCGGCCCTCGGATGCAGCGAGCACACCTGGGGAGGGGGCTTCTCCGCGGCCCGAAAGGTGGGTGCAGCGCGAGCAGGAGGGCCCAGTGCGGCTCTGCTGGGCTGAGGTGAGGGGGGCAGAGTCGCAGAGGGGCTTGTGGGCCCCCGGCAGTGTGGACGCACTGGTCTGACGCCAGGCCCCTGTTGAGCTCAGAGAAGGGGGTGTGGAGAGGCCAGTCGCTGCGAAAGAGTAGGTGCAGACCCAGAAGGGGAGCGGAGGAGTTGGGGGCTGCGCGGGAGGGGAGAAGTTGGGGGAAGGCTGGCCTTGGGGGCGTGTGGGGCAGCTGGCGTGAGTGGGGTGTGTGGGCAGCCTCCCTGCGGGGCACAGGGTCCGGGAGAAGAGAGAGGTATGGTTTCGGCTGGGGGAGAGGAGGAGGAGAGGAGGAAGTGGTTCATCTGGCAGAGTTGTCCGGGAGCCAAGACCAGAGTGAAGCCAGCGGGAGGACTGAACCCGAAGTCAAGTTGAGGTATGCAGGGAGAAGCCGGTGGGAAGACAAGTGTCGGACCTCGTTGGCCGCCTAGGCGGGACCTGGAAGAAGCCAGCGACTTGTCCTAGCAGCACAGCTGGGTGGACGCCTTGTTAGGACAGAGCTGTCTCTGGGCCTCCCTGTGGCCATTTTTGGATGGCCAGCTCTGTTCCCTTTTAACTTAGCTCTTTCCTGTGACCTGCAGCCTGGGTCACAAATACTCATCTGCAGTGTGCTTTGTATGATGGTGAGGAGGGGTCCGAGGGGCTTTGAAGGCTGGGGACAAGGCCCGCTGGCCTGAGGACAAAAGGAAGCAAAGTGAACTTTATCTCTGCTGGATCAGCCAGACCTCTGGGGAGGGAAGAGATTGGTGAAGTGGGGGAGGGGTAAATAGCCATGTCTGTGTCTATGACCTGCTTGTGGATGCTTTCCTAATGTAGTCCGATGCATTTGTGTGCTGCCCGTGAGTTGTCCATGCATCTGGTTTTTCTTATCAAAAGAGAGAAAGAGAGAGGGAGAAGGAGAATGGAAGGAAAAATGCCTCGGCCCCAATACAAAGAAGATTTGCTTCCTATAAAATGCACAATCAGAGCGGTCAGTGGCTGTGCTGTGAATGGAGGTCATGGGGTAACTGCCTTTACAGTCAGCAGTTTTTGTAAGAAAAGTCACCGCCGTGCCTCGCCCTGGCCAGCTGGCTTGGAAAGGTGTGTTACTACGTGTCACTCACAGATCATGGGAGGCCTTTATGCAGAACTCTCGTGTTCATGGAATGTTAGAGTCTGGGCTGTGAACACTGGCATCTACTCTGGGGCATGGCCCGGGCCCTCGCCAGGCACAGCTGACCTCAGAGGTGTCCACGTGAAAGCTCAGTGGCTGGGGACACAGCGTGGCCCGGGGAACAGCTACTGTTGCTCTCATGTGCCCGTCTGGCAGCTGCCACTCAGATCCCACGTCCCATACTGCGGTTCAAGTATGTGTCCGTATCTCCTGGCTCTGGTGTTTGTCCCTTGCCAACCGTGGGGATTTATAGTGCTTGGCCTGGCAGAGGGAAAGGGCTGGAGCAGCCAGAGAGTATAACAGGAGAGGAGGCCGCACGTACAGCCTGGCACTCCTGTGTTGGAACTGGTCATTTTCATGCCATCTGCAAATGAAGCACCTGTCCAGGTGCTGTCCTCTCAGGGACATAAAAAAGTGTTACTTTGCACATCTCAGCTGCTAAGGGTGGTAGTCATCCCCGCCCAGTCCCGGGGAAAGACTTGAGCAGACAGACAGCCCACTCCAAATGGGCACTTTGGTGCACTGATTCTTGGGGGACGATCGGGTTGATAAAGTTGGAGTCTGTTACGAGGACAGGCAAGGCAGTCACGGCATAGCCGAGACTGAGGCCGCCAGGGCCAGTGTCCTCACCTGACGTTACAGTGGCACACAGAAAGTGTGCCAGGACCGCTTGTGCAATGTCCCTGGGGCAGTAACCTTGATGCTTAACTCTTGGGCCATCCTAACTTTACTTTTGCTGTTCATGGATGCAATTCACAAAAACCATTTGGCTCTTGGAAGTACAGTAGAATTATTTAATTAACTAACCTCTGATTCTTAGCAGAATCCTGCCTCTGTAGCCACCCAGTTCCACTTGTTCTTACATCTTAGTAAGGAAAGGGATCGTAGGGGCAAACTTAGACTGCTAGGACCCAACAGTGAAATTTGACCAGTGTCTTCAGCGAAGTCTCTGTAACCTGTGGGATTAGAACTTGGGAGAACGGCTTCAGTCGGGTCCAAGAGAACAGTCGTCAGGTTGAGCCTTTGTGCAGGGGTCGTTTTCTACGACAACCCCAGAGCTTCCTCGTCTTTTTTCTAATAAGCTGCTTTAAAGATATACAGGACAGCACATGAGAGATTGGTCAGCAGGCTTGCCGAAGACACCTAGAGACTTGCAATTGACCTTGTGCTGTGTTCCTCTGGCCAAGAGGAAGCACTGAGGAGGATACTCTTCCTCCCTTGGTTCATAGCCAGGATTTCAAGGGTAGACAGAGTGGGAGGCACTGGGCTGCAAGGCTCTTGGTTGGTTGGTTGGTTTTAATACATATTTGAAAACTATACAAAAAATTACCTGCATTAAAGTTAGAGCTGAAAGTGTAATTCTGATACATTCTAAGGTAAAGTTGTGTAATGGACAGAAAGAACTAAAATTCAAGTACTTTGTACCTGTGGGATTTGTTTTAACATTGAACCAATTTGTGAACCCGCTGATGCTCTGTAGAGCTATCTTGCCAATTTCAGTCACAACTTTTCTTTCAAGACTAATTGCATGGGTATAAAAACAGATCGTAGCAAACAAATTGACTTTGTCAGAGGGGAAACAGTGAGATGCCTGCATTGTGGCTTCAAGTTACTGTTTTATTTGTGTGTTTATTCAACTTGGCATCCCTAAGTGCTTCGTGCATTCTAGGACATACTTAGTTTTTGGAAAATAAGATCCAACCTTATGTCTTTGTCCTTTCTCGTTTTCCTTATGTATTTGGTTAATCAAAATCAGAAGTTGAAAGTGAATGAGGGCTGGCGTCGCGGCTCACTAGGCTAATCCTCCGCCTACAGCGCCAGCACCCGAGGTTCTAGTCCCGGTCGGGGCGTCGGATTCTGTCCGGTTGCTCCTCTTCCAGTTCAGCTCTCTGCTGTGGCCCAGGAGGGCAGCGGAGGATGGCACAGGTCCTTGGGCCCTGCACCCGCATGGGAGACCAGGAGAAGCACCTGGCTCCTGGCTTCGGATCAGTGCGGTGCGCTGGCCGCAGTGTGCCAGCCGCAGTGGCCATTGGGGGGTGAACCAACGGAAAAGGAAGACCTTTCTCTCTGTCTCTCTCGCTCACTGTCCACTCTGCCTGTCAAAAAAGAAGAAGAAGAAGAAGAAGAAGAAGAAGAAGAAGAAGAAAAGAAAGTGAATGAGGAGTTATTGCACTGAACCAGTGGTCCCAGCCCTTGTCAGAAGATGAGCAACATTTTGCCTGTCGCTTCTCAGTGGTGGTAGTCCTGGCCCGAGAAAACCACCTTTCACACCAGCGTTTCCCTACACTTTGGCCCTAAAAAGGGGAGACAATTTTAGAAACCCATATAGATCCTGTGTCCCATAATTCTCAAGCTTGCGCTTCTAATCCTGTCTTTGTCCCCAACTTCTTCAATTTAGTCCCTTCTAACTGTCAAGTCAGAATATGGTAATTAGCATCATGAAAAGTGCTTGGTTTGAGTGAGGCAATAGCTTCAGGATGAGTTTTTGGGCACATATTAAAATATTTGAAATTTTTTCCTAGTTCCATCTTTTTTCCTGATTATAAAAGCAATATTGTTTTAGAAGATATAAGAAAACATACAGCAGGAGAGTGGAAGCTTCCTGACGTCCAGTCATGTGGGGAGTCTGGCAGTTTGACCTACAGTGGTCTTCCATTCTCCAGGGGGATGCCTGGAACCATGGTCACACCCAAACGTGCAGCCTTGCCACACGGTGCCAGAGGGTGTGCATCCCCCATGTTGTACACACGGTGCCTCTTTTGCATCGCTAGCTTGGGCTCTGGGGTCGTTATGAAGTAAAATAAGGGCTATTTGACTAGGAGCATGGCAACCATGACAGCCATGATAACTGGGATGGGTAGGAAATGACTAACAAGCAGGCAGGTAGCATCCCTAGCTCGCATGGCTGTGTTAGACAAAGGGATGATCAGATCCAAGGTGGGAGGGGGTGGGGTAGCCCACGATTGCACCTTGCAACTCAGAATGCTGCATAGTGTAAAACTGACAAATAATTTCTGGAATGTTCCACCTAGTATTTTCAGACTGCAGTCGATTGAGGAAAGTGAAACCATGGTCAAAGAGACACCAGTGCATCTCTGCTCTACATGAATATCTCATAATATTTTCTCCCAACAACTCTGCTCTTACGTTCAATTTTATCTTCTCTATTTGTCACATTAACACTAGAGCATACTTTTTTCTTGCCATGTAAATATTTTTCCAAATAATTGTTTTAATGATGATATAAAATTAAAGTGCATGGATATGGTACAACTGATTTTAAAAGGTGCCTGTTCTGGTCATTAAGGTTATTTTCTCATTCTTTCCCCTCCTATAATGCTGCACAGAACGTATTAGTATGGTAATCTCTGAATTTTAAATTACTTACTTAAGATATATGACAGTCTGAGTAATAAGTATATTTCTATTAACTTTTGAAGTTGTTTCCTAATTCAATAAATAAACACTGGCCTTGTTCCTAATCTAAATTTCTTAATTACAAAATTAGACATTTTGCATGCTTATGGCTCATTTCTGAAGTTTCGTTTTTGAGTATTCTATTCATACTGATTGCTCATGTTTCTGTGTAGAATATTTGACCTTGTTACTGCTTCCTAAAAACTCTTTATACATTAGTGAATTAACTCTGCTGTCGTGCTTTTGTTTAAAATTTTTTTATTTATTTTGGTTTTATTTGAAAAGCAGAGAGAGAGAGTCAGAGAGACAGAGAGAGTTTTTCCTTTCACTGGTCTACTCCTCAAATGTCTGCAGCCACTAGGGCTGGGCTAGGTTGAAGCCAGGAGCCTGAAACTCAATCTGGGTCTTCCAAGCGGTGGCAGGGAGCCAAGTACTTAAACCGCCACCTGCTGCCTCACAGGGTGTGCATTAGCAGGAAGCTACATTAGAAGTGGAGTAGCTAGGACTCTGTTATGGGATGGGTAAGCTGTGCCATGCACCTGCCCCAGTTGTCATGCTTTTAGTAAAATATTTTTCCAATTTATCTTTAATCTGTTTTGTTTTACTGACTTTTTTGCACCTGGAGAAAAACATAGCATTTTTTAAAAAAGGATTTATGTATTTATTTGAAAAACAGAGTACAGAGAGAGAGGGAGAGGGAGAGATAGAGAGAAATCCTCTATCCACTGGTTTACTCCCCAAATGGCCACAAAGGCCAGAGTTGGTCTGATCTGAAGCCATGAGCCAGGAGCTTCTTCCAGGTCTCCCATATGGGTGCAGGGGCCCAAGCATTTGGACCATCCTCCACTGTGTGCTCAGGTGCATTAGCAGAGAGCTGGATGGGAAGTGGAGCAACTGGGACTCAAACCAGCACCCACATGGATGCCAGCAACCCAAGCAGCAGCTGGCTCATTTTTTTTAATAGTGGATATCTTCACCTGTATAAAAGATAAATGCTCACCTTCATAAAAATTTTAACACTAATGGCTCGTTATTCTTTTTTTTTTTTTTTTGACAGGCAGAGTGGATAGTGAGAGAGAGAGACAGAGAGAAAGGTCTTCCTTTTCTGTTGGTTCACCCCCCAATGGCCGCTGAAGGCTCGTTATTCTTAAAACAAAAATAGCCTGGGTTATAAAAACCTACCATAAGTTCAACAGACGCAGGCTTGCATCTGTGGGCACTATTGGATCCCAGTGTCTAGTATAATGCCTGGCATACACCAACTACCAAATCAACATTGGTGGGATGGGTGCATTCCCTCTGTGTTGTATTAAAGCAGTGTTTACTATCAGCACAGTGAGATGCCCCTTCACACCCGTTAGAATGGTTATTAGCAAGAAGATGAAAGAGAACAAGTGTTGATGAGGATGGGGAGAAAGGAGGAATGTAAATTAGTATAGCCACTGTGGAGAACAGTATGGAGGGTTCTACACAACACACGCAAACTCAAGTCAGCATGTGACCTAGCAAGCCCAGGACTGGGTATCCAGTCAAAGGCCATGAAATCGGCCGGCGCCGCAGCTCACTAGGCTAATCCTCCGCCTTGCGGCGCCGGCACACCGGGTTCTAGTCCTGGTCGGGGCACCGGATTCTGTCCCGGTTGCCCCTCTTCCAGGCCAGCCCTCTGCTGTGGCCAGGGAGTGCAGTGGAGGATGGCCCAAGTGCTTGGGCCCTGCACCCCATGGGAGACCAGGAGAAGTACCTGGCTCCTGGCTCCTGCCATCGGATCAGCGCGGTATGCCGGCCGCAGCGGCCATTGGAGGGTGAACCAACGGAAAAGGAAGACCTTTCTCTCTGTCTCTCTCTCATTGTCCACTCTGCCTGTCAAAAAAAAAAAAAAAAGGCCATGAATTCAGCCTGTCAGACAGCCGCCTGCACCCTCTCAGGCCCTGCAGTGTTGTTCACCAAGGCTACAACGTGAAGTCAACCCACGCTGGATGGGTAAGATGAACAGATGGAGGGAATGTGGTGTACGCACACAGCGGAGTACGGTTCCGCCTTAAGGAGATTCTGCGGCAGCGGCGTGAACAAACCTGGAGGACACTGTGTCGAGTGAAGCAAGCCAAGCAGAGAGACGCACCCACTCTCAGTTAGATGTGGAATTTAGTGGGGAACTCAGAAGCGAGAGTGGAACGGGGGCTGCCAGAGGCTCCGGGGTGAAGGAGCAACAGGGGGAGGTGTTGGACACGGGACACAAAACATAATTTATAAGGGAGGGATACGTTCAGGAGGTCTGCTGTACATCATGGTGATTGTGGTCAGTGAGAATATAATGTATACTTGAAAATTACCAAAAGAATAGGTTTTCAGTGTTCTCACTGCAAAAATATAAGTACAGTGGTACTTCAAAAAGTATGTGCCCAATGCAACTAAAAGACATTTGCTTTGGTGCCAAAAAATTGGAATCAGTACATAGCTGTTTCATAATATTCATTTCCATGAACTTTTTGAAGATCTTTTGTAGGCACCAAAATAAACATATTTTAATTCCATTTTACATATTGAGGTAATTACATAGGTTAAACGATGCTGTTGTGGGCATTTGAGAAGTGAACCAGCTAATGGAAGCACCCTGTCTCTCTCTCTGTCAAATAAATAATAATAAGTTGTATTTATTTATGGTGTACAACATGTTTGCATAGATGTCTACCTTTTGGCATGGCCAGTCAAATCATTTACAGGCTCCCAGTGCAGTTCCTCCAGGCATCGCCTACTGCCTCCCAGGGTGCACATTGGTAGGATGCTGGAATCAGAAGCTGAGCTGAGATCCGAGCCCAGGCATTCTTAACATGGGATGTAGGCGTCTTCAGCGGCATCTTAACCACTGTGCCAAGTGTCCCTCCCAAATAGACGCGATTTCTCCTTGTCAATAAATAAATAGCCGTATATACTAAAGCACGTTCCTGGAGAACCAGGTGTGCTATCTGTGGCACAAAACGGGATTCATTAGACAAGGAAGTGTGAAAGATTCTGCAGACAGTGTGTCCTTTTCATGACCTTCTGTGGCACAGCACCTTACAGAAGGCCCCAGAAATCCCGATAGGAAAACCCATGAGCTTAGTTTTAAAACTGGTGGTCTCTGCGTTCCCCGGAAGCATGTGGGTGCTGGGCTGCAGCTGTGTGAGCCACAAGGGCCGAGATGCAGGAAAGCCCTGGCTGCCAGCCTTGGCTGGAATGAGGAGCTGTGTTGCGGTGGATTGTTTCTGGGAGGAGGAGCGTGTTGGGGGATAAGAGGAGTCACCACACAGACCCCAGGAGTCTGTGAAAGCAGGCCTGAGGCAAGCAGCCTGCAGACTCCTTTATTTCAGTTGCTACAACAGCTTATATAGCCAAGGCAGCCAATCCGGTCAAGGGGTGGGCTATGCCCTAACCAATCACAGCCTGTTGCCAGGCAGACTCTTGCCAGCAGCCATCTTGGCATGACCTTCTCATTCCACCACAGAGCTGAAGCATCTGTCTGATCCCTCTGCCCTTTCCTCTCTCTGCCAGGGTTCTGGCCTGTACGTCTGGCCCCGTGATGGCTGTGGACATAGAGTACAGATACAACTGCATGGCTCCCTCCCTGCGCCGAGAACGTTTTGCCTTCAAGATCTCCCCGAAGCCCGTCAAACCTCTGAGGCCTTGCATTCAGCTGGGCAGCAAGAATGAAGCCAGTGGGCTGGTGGCCCCGCCGGTGCAGGAAAAAAAGGCGAAAAAGCGAGTGTCCTTCGCTGACAACCAGGGGCTGGCCCTGACCATGGTCAAGGTCTTCTCGGAATTCGATGACCCCTTAGATCTTCCGTTCAACATCACGGAGCTCCTGGACAACATCGTGAGCCTGACGACAGCCGAGAGCGAGAGCTTCGTGCTGGACTTCGCACAGCCGTCCGCGGACTACCTGGACTTCAGAAACCGGCTCCAGGCCAACCACGTGTGCCTGGAGAACTGCGTGCTCAAAGACCGAGCCCTCTCGGGCACCATCAAAGTGCAGAACCTCGCCTTCGAGAAGATCGTGAAAGTCAGGATGACCTTCGACACCTGGAAGAGCTTCACAGACTTTCCCTGCCACTACGTCAAGGACACCTACGCCGGCTCCGACAGGGACACCTTCTCCTTCGACATCAGCTTGCCCGAGAAGATCCAGTCTTACGAGAGGATGGAGTTCGCCGTGTGCTACGAGTGCAACGGACAGACGTACTGGGACAGCAACAAAGGCAAAAACTATCGGATCATCCGGGCCGAGTTAAAATCCACTCAGGAACCGAGCGAGCCCCCGAACGGACCGGATTTCGGGATAGCGTTTGACCAGTTTGGAAGCCCTCGGTGCTCCTATGGTCTGTTTCCGGAGTGGCCTAGTTACCTAGGATATGAAAAGCTGGGGCCATACTACTAGTGAGGCAGGCGATGGAGCCCAGCTCCGGTCACAGGAATGGAGATGGAGGCCTAGGGAGGCACCCAGTCGAACTGCCACCAGGCACGGTTTTGCAAAGAAAGGATCCTGTTCACTGTTTCCTTCGGCCAGCAGTTGCAGCCAGGTGTAGATCACAGAACTGGTTTTGCGCCTGGAGGAGAGGTGGTGTGCTGGTCCGTGTGGCACCCAGGGTGGGAATGAGCAGGGTGGTGCTGGACGCATTGTGGACAGGAGCCAAGGCCACAGGCGGAGCCGGCGGGCCCGGAGGAGCCTGGCCTCTGCCTGCCACTTGGATGTGGAAAGTGAGCCCCCCTGGAAAATTGCTCAGCCCCCAGCCACCTCCCGTGGGTGCCTGCTCTGGCTCCAGCTGCCAGCCAGGCCTCTCGTGCGTGTTGCTGCTATCCCACATCTACACACACCACGCTGTATCTCTGTGCTCTCATCCGCGAGCCTGAGGCTGCACGATTCTACAACACAGCTACCCAAAGAGAGACAGATCCGCTCCTGCGGGCGCAAGTTCATTTGTTGCATTTTTAAATTCTTCCTGGCATTCAGGAAAAGATAATAAAGGTGATTGGCTTGTACCAGAGACAGGCATTTCTTCTCCCTGCCTCCTGACTACGCGTGCGTATTCCCGCACAGAGCAGCGCACGGGTCCCGGAGAGTCGCTGGCTCCTGGGTGGCGTCCCAGATGGCGGAGTCATGACGAGGCCATGACAGTCTGGAGAGCTCAACACTTTACGCTTCTCCTTTTTTTTTTTTTTTTTTTGGTTTTTGAGGGAGCTTTCTACAGACTCACCTTGACCCTGAGTCACTCAAAGACTCGATTGCAAGGTGCATTTAATTGGCTTGGCTGGTCTTCAAGCAGCTTACTCCTTACAGGAGAATTTTAGATGGTCGTTCCTGAAGAGTTGTGTTTTATGCAGTGTTTGGGATGTTTGATTGGCAGATGCAAGATGACTTTGAGGCCTTCAGAAGATGTCTGATTTTGTTTGGGCTGTGACTGATGATACCCAGGACACTTTACAGGCACCTGGGGACATTGATTTGGGGTGTTCTTATTTATGGTGTGTGAGTATGTAAAGGGATGGGGTTCACTCGGTTCTCATGTTATTTTAAATGTTTGCCAGTCTGAACTATCGGAGGTTAATTGTTCTCAACCCTATGAGATTCAAGTCCATTGGCTAATGCTATTGTAAGAGAATCTTGGGACGTTCATTGTCAATGGATCCCTAAAACCTGTGATTCTTTTTTGGGCAAGATTGGTTTTTACTTAGAAGTGTTTTAAACATTTTTTACATGAATATTTGTAGAAAGTTTTTTTTCTTTTTCTGATTTGTTTGTCTTTGGGATATGGTTCAATGGCTGTTTAATTTTCCTTCTGAGTGTCTCACTAATGGGAGGTGTTTCCCAAGGTGAGCGGGGAGAGGAGTGTACAGGTACCTAGATTTGGAGCCACAGTTGCTGGACTTAACCAAGGAGAGTCCTGTGCTGGCCATTTCCCTACTGATCTGTTCTCAAGGTCTGCAGGTGTCTATGACGTTGGACATGGGCAACAGGCAGGTATTCAGGCGGGTATTGAACGTGCCGGCTCCTAGAGTTTTGTGGTTGGGGTTTGGTTTTCACTTTAAAATGTATTCATTTTTCAAATGCTCTTAAATGGTGTTCAATGCAATTCTTGTCCCTGAGCCCGGCTGTTAGGCGTCTGTGATCCAGTGCTTTTGCCCTCGGAGATAAGCGGATACTGTCATTGAGACGGAAATCACGCTTTGATCTTTCGTGAAAATTGGCAGAACTGCTTTATCTGAGTCAAGCAAATAGCACGTCGTCGGCAGCCAGGACTCTGAAGGTTACACGGTCAGCGATCAGAACATCAGCAGCGCAGCCGTCAGCCAACACAGCTCCTGGGGTCATGAGTTTTGTGTTAACAAGTGTCCCACATTACCAGGGCAGGAAGGGAGCCCAGTGCCCTGTTGCCAAGACTAAGGGGGTCGTCGGTGTTCAGGAAGGGCCTGACGCGACTCCAGGGTGAAGTCTGCTGGTTATGTGTAGTGATCACCCTCAGACATTCCCACGTCAAACTCCGAAATACGGTGAACGGGTGATAAGTGTCTTCTGAAACAGTGACAACCCTCCCCCGACCCAGCCCTTCTTTCTCTGGGCTCACCCCAGCTTTTTTTTGCTGGGGCACTGGTTGCAACCCCTCAGGCTGGCACACCTGGGGTGCTCACCCCACTGCGCTGCTCAGAAGGCAAGTCCTCACCTGCTTGCCCAGTGTCCCTCCGCGGAGCTGTCACTCATTTGAAAACACCGCCTTCTCCCTTCCGCCACCCCCACCTCAGTCTGCCTCCGCCGAGCCCTTGGGAGATGCCTGGAGGAAGCCTGTCCAGACGGCACCAGACAGTAGATAGGCCGACGCCCTGGCCAGGCTGGCTGGCTGGGCTTGTAGGGCTGTCAGCAGGCCGCCCTCGGTGATGTTGCCTCCTGGCCCCTGGTCCCTGTGAACTTCCCAGGTACCCACCTGGGGTAGCCACCTGTCACTGGTGCCTTTGTCCAGGAATGAGGAAGCAACTCCATTTCTGTTTCATATTTAGTTCCCTGAGGGATATGTCCTGGGGGGGCATTTGCCAATTTGGCTCAATAGATAAGCTAGACTATGTAAAGAAGTATGATAAATAAGCTGAAAGCTAGGAAGCATTTGAGAGAGAGTCTTTTATTTAAAAAAGAAAGTTGTTAGAGGGGAGCTGATGAGACATCATGGAGTTATGCAGGTCTCCGGGGTCCATGGTGGAATTCATTTTATCATTGAGTTTTTGTCATGTTAAAACATGGTACTTTTTTTTTATAAAAGGATGTAAATTTTGAATTGTTAGAAGAATGCTTTGTGGGTTTTGGATCTTTGTATATCATTTGCGTTTGAAACATAAGCATTACTTGTAGTCATTTGGACGTTAAATGGGCTGGATATGCTTACACAGCAAAAAAAAAAAAAGGGTGTTTCAGTTTTTTAGAAGTGCCTTCGAGGTGGCCCTTCCCTTTTGGTGGGCTGTGAAGGGAAACCCTGGTGGTCTTTCATTGGTTTCCACTTTTGCAATTCTTCCTGGTCACTGTTTGCTCTGATTCCAGGGTGTCTCCTAATACAATCCTTGGTGATTAGAAGTTAGGTGAGTAATGGGCCACCCAAAGACATGGCAAGTGGTCAATGAGCTGATCTGAACGTCCTGCACGGCTGCCCCTAGGGGCTGGGAGGAGAGCCGTTGTGGCAGGTGGGGCTCAAGGGCAGGCCAAGTGCAGCGTCCCAGGCTGTGAGGCTGGGGATGTCCCCACAGCTTGGTTACCAGCTGCTGGACCTGTGAGGACGGCAGGAGGGGGTGGTGCTGACACTTCTTTCTCTTTTACTTCAATGTGAACGCAGAGCCAAGGACTCCTCTTTGTTTTACGCCTAAAAGTGCCTTGTCAAGAGATTTCTGCATGTTTGAAAAATAACTATTTTTATACACAAAGTTAAAGGGGAAATGCACTTTAAAAAAAATCACAAGAATGGATGTTTGTGTGTGGTAGAAGAGAGTGGTTTGTTTGTATCTCAAAAACAAATGTGTTTAATAAAGTAGAAAAAAACAAAACCGAAACTGAAATCGTCTCTCTGTTCTTGGAGCCAGAAGGGGAGCCGTGTTTTAAAGCCCTGTGTTTCCACATATAGATCGCAGGTTTCCGGTGGGGCTGAGCGAAGTCTGGCTGAGTTAAAGCCACAAGGCACAGGCAAGGAGGTCCCTGCTTTCCGGGTGGCCTTGGCAGTTGAAGCTGGTGCACCCGAGAAGATTCATACTGAGGAGGAAGTGCAAGGGCTGGTGCTGTCCTGCACCCACTTTTAAAAAAGTATTCTTTGTGGCCGGCACCGTGGCTCACTAGGCTAATCCTCCACCTGAGGCGCCGGTACCCCGGGTTCTAGTCCCAGTTGCTCCTCTTCCAGTCCAGGTCTCTGCTGTGGCCTGGGAAGGCAGTCAGTGGAGGATGGCCCAGGTCCTTGGGCCCTGCACCCGCATGGGAGACCAGGAGGAAGCACATGGCTCTTGGCTTCGGATTGGCACAGCACGCCGGCCATAATAGCCATTTGTGGGGTGAACCAACGGAAGGAAGACCTTTCTCTCTGTCTCTCTCTCTCTCACTGTCTAACTCTGTCTGTCCAAAAAAAAAAAAAAAAAGTATTCTTTGTGTGTTTTGTTTAAGAGGCAGGGACCTCCCACCTGCTAGCTCTCTCCTTGCACACTGGAGAGCCCAGCGACTTGAGCCATCGTAACCTCTAGGTCGAATACCCTCCCATCTGCACACATTTATTTTTATTGATTGATTGATTGATTGATTGATTTCATTTGTTGCAAGGACACAGAGACACAAGTAGACAGACAGCTGAGCAGATCTTCCACCTGCTGGTTCACTCCCCAAATGCCTGCAACAGCCAGGGCCAAAGCCAGGAGCCAGAAACTGCACTGCGATCATCTCCCATGTGGGTGGCAGGGACCCAAGTGATTGAGTCATCATCTGCTGCCACTCATGGTGTGCATTAGCTGGAAGCTGGATTTTTTGAAGCGGAGTAGCCAGGACTCAATCCCAGGCACTGTGACAGGGGTTGCCAGTGTCCCATGCAGAGACGTAAGATGCCACCCCCAAATGCTCACCCTGCACCCATTTTTAGTGATCCAAGGTCATGGCTGTCCCTGTCCTGTCACTTGCACTTCCTATGTAAAGCAGCCATGGAGCAGAGGCAAAAAGAATTCCCCACAGGACTGGTTTCCCAACCTGCTTTTTTAATTTTTCTATTTTTATTTAAAAGATATGTATGTACTTATTTGAAAGGCAGAGTTACAGAGAGAGGGAGAGACAGAGAGAGCTTCCATCTGCCTGTTCACTCCCCAAATGGCCACAACAGCCAGAGCCAGGCCAGGCTGAAACCAGGATCCTAGAACTCCATCTGGGGCCGGCACCGCGGCTCACTAGGCTAATCCTCCGCCTTGCGGCGCCAGCACACCAGGTTCTAGTCCCGGTCAGGGCACCGGATTCTGTCCTGGTTGCCCCTCTTCCAGGCCAGCTCTCTGCTGTGGCCTGGGAAGGCAGTGGAGGATGGCCCAAGTGCTTGGGCCCTGCACCCCATGGGAGACCAGGAGAAGCACCTGGCTCCTGCCATCGGATCAGCGCGGTGCGCCGGCCACAGCGCGTCGGCCGCGGCGGCCATTGGAGGGTGAAGCAACAGCAAAAGGAAGACCTTTCTTTCTGTCTCTCTCTCACTGTCCACTCTGCCTGTCAAAAAAAAAAAAAAAAAAAAAAAAAAGCCTCCATCCAGGTCTCCTACAAACACTTGGGCCATCTGCTGCTGCTTTCCCTGGTGCTTAAGCAGGGAGCTGGATTAGAAACGGAGCAGCCGTGACTCAAACGGTGCTGCACCACAATGTAACCCTTTCTCTGCATTTTAAAACACTGCCTGCAGTTTGCAGTCACAGACATGGGAAGGGAGAGAAATAACATAAGTTTCCATAAATGTCTGTCTGATATTCTGTATTTGAGTTTTTATAATCATTACCGGATTGTAAGTTGTGATACGGACATTTCAGAGATGCTTGGAGGACAAGAGAGAGAGCTTTCTCCAGCAACGGCCCCAGAACAGCAACTCACCCACTAAATAATAGAGCTGAACACACCCTGCTCATCTGCCAAGTTCAAGGCAGTGCTGGGCGCTTCCTGCCACCAGCCCTATAAGCGGCATGCCCAGGTCCCTGGTGACCCCTCTGGGAGTCCCGGGAGCAACTGAAAGGTCTTAGAGGGCAGGAAGTCTGGCTCTTATCTTAACCTTGCCACTGGCCTTTGAGGCCCACTGTCCCATCAACAGCTTTCCTGCAGGGTCTGCCTGTGTTCAGCGGGAATAAGGAACCAGGGCTCCAGCAGTGCCCTGGGTTCTTGGGAGAGTCACTCCATATGTTCCTGTTTAAAAGGCTTCTAAATGTGGCATACTAGATTAAACCTCCACCTGCAGCACCCGCCTCCCATATGGGCGCCGGTTCATGTCCCGGCTGCTCCACTCTGATACAGCTCTCTGCTGTGGCCTGGGAAAGCAGTAGAAGATGGCCCAAGTTCTTGGGCCCCTGCACCCATGTGTAAGACCTGGAAGAAGCTCCAGGCTCCTGGCTCCTGGCTTTGGATCAGCCCAGCTCCAGCCGTTGTGGCCATTTGGGGAGTGAACCAGCAGATGGAAGATCTCTCTCTGTCTGTAACTCTACCTCTCAAATAAATAAATAAATAAATATTTACTCATTTATTTGAATGGCAGACTTACAGAAAGGCAAGGCAGAGAGAGAGAGCGAGGTCTTCCATCCGCTGGGTCACTCTCCAAATGACCACAACGGCTGGAGCTGCACTGATCCAAAGCCAGGAGCCAGGAGCTTCTTTTGTGTCGCCCACGCAGGTGCAGTGACCCAAGCACTTGGGCCATCTTCCACTGCTTTCCCAGGCCATAGCAGAGAGCTGGATTGGAAGTGGAGCAGCCGGGACTCGAACCAGCACCCATATGGGATGCCCGCACTGCAGGCAGAGGCTTAGCCCACTGAGTCACAGCGCTGGCCCCATAAAAAAATCTTTTAAAGGAGTGGGGGGGGGGCTTCTAAATATAAACAGTTGAGCGCAATCCCTTGCACGCGAGTCTTTCCTAAGAAACACCGGAGCGAATCGCATTCCAGACAGGCGTGGGGACCTTGTGACCGTGTGCAGGCTGGAAGGAGCATCCGAGCTCCCTGTTAAAGATAAAGAGAGGAAGGCCCAGGGTGAGCTTTCCCAGGTCACAGGGCCTGCCTGTGACAGAAAGAAGACAGCACAGGTGATAGTGCTCCCCCTCTTCCTAGAAGTTTCCCCTGAAACCAGGATCAGTTTCACTGGGCTGAGAGCCTGAGCTGCTGGCAGGGAGAAGTGCCCTGGATGAGGCCGCAGTGCGGCTCCCAGGGGAGGGAAAGGCACACCCTCCCAAGGACTTCCTCAGCCCCTACAAGAGCCACAGACCACGCAGGGGCGCAGAAGTCAGAAATGTGCTGGGTCTGTCAGTCTTCATGGGGCCTCGGGATGGGCCGGCTGGGAGGAAACCACCAGAGGGGCCTGTGGCCACTGGGTGTTTGGGGAGCCAGGCCTCACATTCCATCTCCCCGGAATAGAAACCCTGCTGTGCTGGAAGGCTTGGGCTAACCCTCACTCCTCTGCCCTGCTTGTCCCTGTCCCCCGGAGGAGGAGACAGAGGAGGAATCTCAGCAGACCCGAGGCTTCCATATCCACCTGGGGCTGGGCACGTGACATCTTGAGTCGACATCATTCATTCCACAAGCACTAGCACGGGGCGTGTGCCGGAGCTTGCCTTGGGCAGTGGTAGGATAAGTAAGGGCAGAGACCTTTGGGGCCAAAGACATCAACAACGGCCCAAGGTCCCAGCCCTCTTCCCAAAACTACACAATCCAGGTAAAGCAGCAGAGAGTAAGTAGTGTTAAGTGTTGTGGGCCACATAGGGTCTGTATCACAAATTCTTGTTTTTATTTTAAAAGTCTCTAAAAATATCAAAATCGTTCCTAGCTTGCAGGCTATACGCAAATAAGACCAGGCCTGAATTTGTCCCGTGGGCTACAGGTGGGTGACGTGGATGAAGACTCGCATGGGAAGAGACTTGAGAGCTGCCTTGCTGAGGTCTGGAGTCGGGAGGGGAGTTTTCAGTCGCCTGCTTGCTCTCCGTGTTTAGATCACCATACAGCCCTGCGTGGTCGTGACTGGTGCACTTGTGAGAACAGCGTGCTGTTGACTTACCTAGAGCACTCCCTGGGAACTGGGAGCATCCTGGGCAAACCCGGCTGCAGGGATCCCATGGGTGCCCACCCTCCTGGATGTCTGGGACCCTCTGAAGACTCCAGAGAGCTCAGAAAGCCCACCAGGGTGGGCCTGTGCACGACTCACTTCTGGCTGGATAATGCCTTTTTTTTTCTTGGGATGGGCTATAGCAGAGTGGTGATTTAGTCTGTGGTTTTGATGTGTTTTTGTTGGTTGGGTTTTCTGTTTCCTAATTGTAGTGCTGATGGCCAAAAGCCCTCTGGAAATTTCAGTCAATTCAGTCTTAATAGTAGCTTGTTTGGGAGGAAGGGGGTTATTAAATGGTTTGGGCTCATTTCCTACTACCGCTTTCTCCCCTACCACACCCCACAGCCCAGCAAGCAGGGCCCAGCCTAGCGGCCGAGGAAGTGGCTCCCTTGTGGACTGTCACAGAGGCCAGCCCCTGCAGAGTTCCAAGTGCCCCGAGGAAGGCCGCCAGCCTCAGGGTCTCGTCTGTCTTTTGCGGGCCCGGCAAAGTTCCAAGATCCCCAAAGCACGCCCTCTCTGGGGGCCGCCCTGCGGTGCAGGCACCAGGCTCTTCCTCTTGCATTCTGTCTCCTGCTTCCAGCAGTATCTGCTGTTACCTAGGGCTGCTCCAGGTGGGTCTGTCACGCCAGCAGGACCCTCATGGTAGCACTGAGGGCACCTGGACAGGCCGTCACGGCGCCTCAGTCCATCAAGGGGAATTGTTCACCACCACAGGCTAAGGGTGTGTTTCCCAGCATCTGCCCCTCCT